CCAAAGCCGCCGAGTGCTCTTACTGTTATACCGCGTATCATGGTAAGAGCACTACTTAGGTTCGTGTGAACTGGTGGTTTAACTCTTGTGCTGACCATGGTTTGTTCATCATGCCTACTATGCTCACATAGACTGCAAATACGCTCTTATGTCAGACATAGACTACATAGTAACTAGTACGTAGTACACATAGTACATAGTATACAGTAATACAGTACACAGTACATTGTATTATGTACTATGTACTTAGTAGGAGTTAGTAGTATAGATAGTACACATCGTATTATGTACTATGTACTTAGTAGCTTTCCTTACATTTTACATAGTTCATGATATGTACTTTGTAGGTTCATGATATGTACTTTGTAGTAGTACAGTACACATAGTACATTGTATTATGTAGTATGTACTTGGTAGGAGTTAGTACATAATAGATAGAACATGCTACATACCCTTTCCTTACATATGCGTAGTACATAGTACATAGTACACATAGTACATAGTATACAGTACACATAGTACATTGTACAGTACACATAGTACATTGCACTTAGTGGGAGTTAGTACCTAATAGATAGTACATGCTACATACCCTTTCCTTACAGTATACATAGTTCATGATATGTACTTAGTAGTAGTACAGTACACATAGTACATTGTATTATGTACACATAGTACATTGTATTATGTACACATAGTACATTGTATTATGTACATATACTTAGTAGTAGTACAGTACACAGTACATTGTGTAATGTACATATATTATGTACATATATTATGTACATATATTATGTACATTGTATTATGTGCTATGTGCTTAGGAGTGCTAGTACACATTATGTTATGTACATTTATTATGTACATATATTATGTACATATATTATGTACATTGTATTATGTACATTGTATTATGTACGTTGTATTGTGTACATTGTATTATGTGCTATGTACTTAGGAGCTGTACAGTACACATAGTACATTGTATTATGTACTATGTACTGTTGTATTATGCTGTTGTATTATGTACTATGTACTTAGTAGTGCAAGGAAAATGAGCAACAGCTAAATGGCAGAAATCCAGAATGCAAATTCACATTGAAGGCCAGAAAGTCCATCGCTGTCCAGAAAGCAGAAATGCACTGATATTCCACCAATGGAGAACCAAAGAACTGAATCCGAATGTCAATGAGCATACTCTCGCCCCCACCACCATATGTATCCAGAGCCCTTCCTCCTACTTAGCGCTCAGCGCCCAGACTACTACTACACAGCTACTAGCAGCCTACGAATTGACGATGCATCCCGTTGACGCCAGCAGCAACAACCGAAGTGCATGAAGATGTCGACCTTGTAGACCATCAAAACCAGGTATGTGCCCTCACATCCTCGTCCTCATCTCTCTCACTCTCTCCCTCGTCTTCTCCTACCCACGTCTTCCCTCTCTTGCACGGAGACCACCACCACCCGCTGACGAACTTCAAGCCCCAGCCTGACTATGGAGGCTAGGCTATGGCGCTGCCCTCAGCAGCACCCTGTATCCTCTCGACGCCCGCACATGCCCGCACCTAGCGCCAGCGCAGCAAGCAGCCTGCGAGTCTATGCTCCAGGAGCGTTGCCGCCCGCAAGTGCAAGTGCCCGAATGTCCAGCCTGGCGCCATGCCCTTCCGTATATCGAAAGTGCTGGGCACTTTGCCTTGCTTCCCACCTGATACCGAGTTTCCAGTCTCTTCAGTCTCGGCCAAAGTGTCTGCGCCCAGGCTTTTAGACAGTCGCCTGGGACCGAATTGGTTAGGCATGCCCAACCACCCAGGCACAAACGTGCGGTGCTCCCTGCTTACACCATGCTGCTGGAAGAGCCTAGCAGGCTCATGAATATTTTGGATTCTCACAAGCAAGGCGAATGTAACCAACTGCCGCGTGGCAACTGTCTGGCGCCGACCAAGATTTGATAAAATTGACGAGATCATAGCGCATTGAGATTCAGGGGGCCGGCCTTCACTTAGAGCAGACACGCGCCTGCTGCGGGGCTTTATGCCGAGGCATAAACGCTCGCAGCAGGAAGTAGTAAAGTACACCCAGTACATTGTATTCTGTACTATGTACTTAGTAGGAGTTATTACATATTAGATAGTACATGCTACACTGCATAGGACATACCCTTTCCTTACATGATATGTACTTAGTAGCAGTACAGTACACATAGTAATAGGTAGTACATGCTACACTGCATAGGACATACCCTTTCCTTACATTATACATAGTACATGATATGTACTTAGTAGCAGTACAGTACACATAGTACCTAGTACAGAGGACACATAGTACATTACTACATTGTATAATACTTAGTAGGAGTTAGTAGTACTTAGTACATAATACATAGCACATACTATATACCATACATGCAGCCCATCACGTGCGCGCAAGTTGCGCACGGGCGGCGCATAGCACATGGGCACATATTCGCGCGCACGTGATGCGGCGCAAGTGCGGATTGAAATTTTTAAAAAGGGCAGGCTGTGCTAGCCAAACGTGCCCTTCCCTTCTGAAAATTGTGCACAAAAGAAGGAAAAAAATTGGGGCCAACATTGTACTCCTCATTGGATCCATTCTGTCTTCCAAAGGGCCCGCAGCACAGAAGTAGCAAGGGTCCCATTTCGTTGGAGAGACGTTCATCGAATTGCTGGTGGAACTCGAGAAGGCCAGCAATATATATATATATATATATATATATATACAGCCCCTCGTTTGTTGTCCTCTTCTCTCTCTCTGCCTACGGTTTTACCGGGCAGTTCTGTTTGTGACGATATAAACAGTTTGTCACAGCCCCTCGTTTGTTGTCCTCTTCTC